CCATTCTTAATGGCGAGACATTGGGCAGGTTACTCAGCCTCAGTTTCCACACCTGTGAAGTGGAGGTCATGGTAACGCCTACCTCCCGAGGCTGTTGGGAGGATTACACGAAAACATGTAAAGCATACAGAATGGTGCACATAATAAGAACTCAACAAGTGTTTTTAAATCCACCCAGTTTGAGTCTAGTGAAAGTAGAGAGAGAAGGAAGGAGGTGAAGCAGGGAGGAAGGCAGGGCTGGATTATGGAGACCACAGTAAGTTATTTGGGTTTTATTCAAAGTTCAGTGGGAAACCACTGGAGGACTCTATGCAGAGAGCAGCATGATCTGATTTACAATTTTAAAAGATCAACTCTGGCCGCTCTGTGGGAAATGGATTGTAGGGATTTTCTTTTTCTCCAAAAGGTCATGTGTTATGAGAGTGAGCAGGTGTGCTTGTGTGAAGAAGGGTGAGCAGCCTTCTTGGACTCACTTCTTGAAGCCTAGGGTTTTGTCATTGGCTCAACAAATACGTCCTGAGCACTTGCTTTTTCCTAGGAACTAGATATGTACTGGGGATGCAGTCACACGTGACATTCAGACCTTTGGGGAGCACCTGGCATGGTATGTGGCTCACAGGAGGAGCTCCTTACATGACAGCTCCAGCTAGTCATTTTTTTTTTTGTCATATTTCTTGTTCCTGTACTCAAGAGCACATGGTAATGGATGAAATGGAGCCAGACATGATCAACTAAAATATACAATAACAGGGATCACCCAGGCAACATAGCAAAACCCTATCTCAAAACAACAACAACAACAAAGTTTCCAAAGAATACAACTTGGTATGAGAGATGTTTGACAAAGAGTAAATGAAAAGGGAAGGTTACAAAGCTGTGTCACAGTACACACCTTTAAAAAACATAACAAAAATGTTTGATTTAGTTATAAACCCGTCAGGATTGAATATGTTCACACACCAAAAACATGAACAAGAATATTCATAGCAGTATTATTTTTAATGGTACCAAATAGGAAACAATCCAAATATCTATTAATGGTGGAATGGATAAGACACAATATACAATATTCCATCATAATGAAGATGAATGAGCTACAACTACTCTAAAAAATGCCCATAATTCTTACTAGCAATGCTAAAAAAGCAGACTCAAAAGATTATGATTCAATTTGTATAAAGTTCAGCAGGCAAAGCTGACATATGCTAATAGAAGTCAGAATGGTGGTTAATTAAAAAAACACTTTTAGTCATTTGAAAAATTAAAATACACATAAAATTTAGCATTTTTACGTGGTAATTCATTGGTATTCAGCACATTGACAATATTGTGTAACCATTACCATGATCTGGTTCTGTAACTTTTTCAAAGAGAGAAAATTTTTTAATATTTATTTTTTAGTTCTTGGCGGACACAACATCTTTGTTTGTATGTGGTGCTGAGGACCGAACCTGGGCCGCACGCATGCCAGGCGAGCGCGCTACCGCTTGAGCCACATCCCCAGCCCCTGGTTCTGTAACTTTTTAAAAAAATTTTTTTAGTTGTCTGTGGACCTTTATTTTATCTATTTAATATGCAGTGCTCAGAATCCAACCCACTGTTGTAACTTTTAAGTAGTCACTCCCCATTCCTCCCTTCCCCCACGATGATACTTTTGAAAAGGAGGGGGAAATGACTGACAGGGGTATAATGGGGGCTTCTGGATACTGGTAATGTTTATTCCTTTTCAAAAAATATACCAGTAGATGTATGGTTGTGTTTTTGTTGCAAACATTTAGCTATACATCTATAATGTCTGTACTTTTTGTATGAATAGATATAGACATATAAATGTGCTAACAGCGATTTTCTCCCCTGGGAAAAATTACAAGTCCATCACTTTGATTTGTTAACTTGTGTCTTCCAGTTGGTCTTCATGAACACTGGTAATAAAATTTAAAACATCTTAAAGGAGAAAACATTAATTTTAATGTCTTTCAAAATAAAATGTTCCTAGCCAGGCATGGTAGCTTTGCAAGCCTGTAATCCCACCTACTCGGGAGGCTGAGGCAGGAGGATCAGAGATTCAGAGATTCAGATTTGAGATCAGCCTCAAAATAAAAAATTAAAAGGGTTAGGGATATGGCTCAGTGGTAAAACTCCGCTGGGTTCATTCCGCAGTACCAAAAAAAAAAAAGTCCTTAGTAGAGGCAAAGGGAGTGTCTTCTACCAAAATTTGCCTCAGAATTGATATTTTTATATTTATCCATCACCCTGTGTGGCTCTGGACCTGTGCTCTCTCCCAGGCTGCCTTTCTTCCTGATGGATATGGAAAGAGTACGTGGGGGAGAGATGAAAAGGAGTGCGTCCCGGCTCTCCTTGGTCACTGGGTGGTTTTGCTCAGAGGATTCACTCCTTGCCTGGCTGGAAGTAAACTCCAAGTAAAAGCTGGGAAATCTGATAAGGACACATAAGATTGAGATGAACAGGCTGCTTGTCCTGGCCTGAAAGGAGCACCAGGGTGCAGCCAAAGGCTTCAAGTAAGCAAGTGATCCTCTCCATCTGCCATCCCAGACACAAGCAGCCACTCTAGACAGAGATTTTCTTAAGAGAAGACTTTGACAGCCTTCCTCCGTCCACCACAGCTCTTCCTCCCTTTCAGGGGTTTGGAATGCCTTTAAGCATCCTTTGCTTTATGGACTTTCACATCTTTCAAAACTCAGTTTTCATCTCTGTTCCTTCCATGCTCCTTTGGCACCATTAATCTCTCCCTCTTCTGTGCTTCTGTCGGACCTCATTTATACCTGTCTTAGAACAGCCACTTTATTGTGAAGTAATTTCCTGCCAAATTATGATCTCTTTAGTAGCTGAAACTGAGTCTTTTATTTTTAATCACTGCATCCTCAATACCTACACAATTCCTGGTAAACAGTAGATACTCAAGAAATGTTCATTTAAATAGCTGAAGGTAGCTCATCTTTTTTCACCTTGATCCTTTCCCTAAGTGGAGTGACTGCACACATTCCCTTCCTTTTCCTCAAGGCTTTTGTTCTCCAATTTTTTCCTTGGCTCAAGATTGATCAATTGCTTGACGGAATTTTTTTTTTTTTTAATCTTGAAATAGGATCTCACTAAGTTGCTGAGGACCTTACTAAATTGCTGAGGCTGGCCTCAAATTTGTGATTCTCTTTCTTCAGCCTCCCAAGATGCTGGGATTACAGGAATGTGCCACTGGCCTGGCCAGATTTCTTTCTTAAGAGATTATTATGTAGTTAGTTCCACATGTACATGCCCTGGAAATAGTGGTACAGATTTATACTCATTTCAAAGTGCATCGTGGGACCCGCAGTCATCCCACATCCTCTCCAGCCCTTGGAACGTGTCCTGCTTCATCCCCTCAATTTTAAAAACTGGGAACATGTTAAATAAGTTCCTTCTATATGAGCTTTTAGAGAGGGATTCTCTCCTAAACATTAAAAAATGTCAGTTTGTAGTCCCCAGCACTGCAAAAAAAAAAAAAAAAAAAAAAAAAAAAAGTTGTTTTTATCTGTACTAGTACTTTTACTTACCTGTTAAAGATTCACAACATGCCAGACACTGTCCTGGTTGATAATGTGATTGGAGAGGCAGGCAGGCAGACATCAGCTTTCACTGGACGTGCTCTGGGAACATGTAACAGAGTGCCTAATAGGGATGTTGGTCAGGCACAACTCGCTTGAGGAACTGAAATTCCTGCCAAATACTCAAATTTAAGTAGAAGGTAATTAGGTGAAAATGGGTGATAAAAGAGCCAAACTACAGTTTAAAAGTCCCTGAGGTGTGGGGGATGGGAAGGATCAAATGTTCAAAGATCTTAAAGACACTGCCCAGAGCCAGAGTGTGGAGTGGCCAAGGTGAGATTGGGGAACGTGGATGAGACAGACAGAGCCTTGCTGGATAAGTCGGCTTTAGTCAGGAACCTTTTGGTTAAAAGTGACAACAAACCGGCTTAGAAAAAAAAGGGGGCCTTTATTGGCTCAGCAGCTAAAAGTTCAGGGCTTTCAAGATAAAAGATGTCATTGAGTTTTGACACCTCTCTCATCTTTGCTCTCCTTTGTGTTAGCTTCCTTCCTTCTTTCTTTGTAAAATTGTCCCCTGATCTCCCCAGCCACAAAGACAAAGCCTGGAGTGGAAACGAACAGGGGGCGAAAAAGGACCATTCCTAAGGGCTGCTGATCCTTTTATTCTTCAAGACCTGCGAGGGTACCTTCTTTTCAGATGAAACTCAGACCTCTCCTCTTAGGCCCCCCGTGGAAAGGGCAGGATCCTGGCCTTTTAGGAAGTTTATGGAGGTAAAGAAAGGGACAGGGGAGGGGACTCTATTCCCGAGGCCAAAGCTATTTGCTTTCTTAAGACAGCGAATTCACCTCTCCCCGTCTCTTTCTCTAATGGCCTAAAATGCATTTTCTCTGCTGCAGCCTCAGCCTTCCTGGGGAGCAGGACCGTTGGTTTCGGTAGGAGGAAAGGAGGGCAGGAGCCCAGAACCCCTCGGTCTCCGCCCCGTCCTCTGCTCCCCTGCTCCCTCTCCAGCAGCGCTAAGAGGGCCCTGACCTACTTGCCTCACTCCTTCCCTCCGCCTCCAGGCCCCTCAAGCCTCTGCAGGTCCTGACCCGACTCCGGGGCTTCAGGCTCCTGCACCGCCCGGTGGGACCCTCTCCCAGCTCCCGCACACCCCGCCCAGGCCGGGCCGTCCGCACCGCCCACCCAGGAACCCCCTTTTCCCTGGGATCTGGCGCTTCCGCCTCCGGGGCGGAGGCTCCTCCCCTCGCGGTGCCAATTGTGTTCCCGGGAAGAGCGGCAGGAAGGGCTCGGGGCCGGGCCGGGCCGGGCCAGCGGGAGCGGCCCTCGTCCTCCGGGAGCCGGCGCGGCAGCTCTGGAGACGGCGCGCCCCGCCGGGGCCCAGCGGCGGGCGGCGCGGACGCGGCTTCAGCACCGCGGACAGCGCCCCTCCCGGGGCCCTGCCGCCGGCCGCGCGCTCCAGCTGCTGCCGGCGAGGCGGCGAGGTATGCCCGCGGCATGGCCCGGCGCTGCAGCCCCGCGGCGCTGCTCTGGAGCCTCGGCCTCCTCGGGCTGTGCTCAGGTAAGACGGCAGACCCCAGCCAACGACCCAGACGTCGCAGGTCTCCCGCTTGGGGGCCTGGAAGGCGGGAGGGGGCCCCTGGAGGTGCGGAGCCTGCTGACCCTTAGGGGAGAGCCCCCTGGTGCTGCGGGAGCACTTGAAAGACCGAACGGAAAGGAGTATCCACGGAAGGAATAAGAGATCGAGGAAGAGATGGACACCTGGCCAGTGGGGGCGGGGGCAGGGAGGCAGGTGCAAGGGTCTCTTCCCAGCTTTCTGGTGGAAGAGGGGCTGACTGACAGTGGCTGAGATGTCATTTGACTTTGTGTGACATTCCGCCTGGTCTAGGACCTCTCCCTTGGCTTCCCATCACTTCCCAATGTGTCCCCCCCCCCATTGGGCTCCTGATTTGGGTCACTCCCCAGGGTCAGTCCTGGAAGGGACTTCTCTTGTGGGATGAGACTGGAAGTTGGAAAGGAGGAAGCTGCCAGGCTAAAGATGGAGGAGTTCTCTGAGGGGCTGGGGAGCAGTGGGCTTTCGCAGAGCTAAAGAGGGGGATAGAGAGTGTGGAAGGGAAAGTACAAAGGGAATGTGCAGTGGAATGAGCTTGCTACCCTGCTGCCAACTCACGGGGTGGACTTCTGTATTATGGGGCTTAGGATTCAATGTACATCCTGATGCACAGTGTAGGTCATCCTACAGTCCCATGCCAACCCAGTGCCTGCAAGGGAGCGGGATGGTATCGTGACCACGGTCCCATGTGCAGACACTTATGATATTTGCCCACACTGATCAACAATGCAGGGTGTGTGGAAGAACACATAATCGTTCCCCTTTCACTACCCTCTAAACGGCCCCTGAACTGTAGGTGTTTCTTGGGAAAGCCATGGAAGCAGAAACCTCAAGTGTTTTGAAACCACCTCTGAGACTTTGAGGGAAGAGCAGGTTTCCACTAGTCCTTGAGGAGTGGGTTCTTAGTATGGACATCTCCGTTTGGACTCTTTGGTCAGTGGTCTCAGTGAGGGGCTTCTCTATGAGGGTCTTGATCTGCGCCTCACAGAGTAACCTAAACATTTTTCAGTATCCTTAGGAATGGGGCAGTAGGAAGCTATAGCCTTCTGGTTGGGCCTACTAGATTGTCCCACATATCGACACATAGTGTCCCACATAGTTAGACCCCATCTTTCAAATTAATTAATTAAAATGAAATGAAAAATCAGAGCAACACCAACTCTGTGCCTGCATTTCCAAGAGTAAGATAAGGATATGTTAACTCACTTCCTGCCCCCGCCTTGTCCAGGGGTATGGGGTACAGACACAGAGGAGCGACTGGTGGAACATCTCCTGGATCCTTCCCGCTATAACAAGCTTATCCGTCCAGCCACCAATGGCTCTGAACTGGTGACAGTACAGCTGATGGTATCACTGGCCCAGCTCATCAGTGTGGTGAGTGGTGGTCCCAAACTCTCTGCCCATCTACTGAAGTCAACCCAGCTAGAATGTGTTAGTGTTAGTGTTTACTCCTCTGGTGTCCAATGTGGGAGGGACCATGGGTCGTGGCGGTAGGACTACAGTTGGTGTGAGGCTGGGGGCAGGGGGTTTCTCATCAGCAACTATATTTCCTTGCAGCATGAGCGGGAGCAGATCATGACCACCAATGTCTGGTTGACCCAGGTTAGTGGTCTTCCCACCCCATCCTCCTTCTTTGAAAGGTACAGATTTCAGAGTCTTAAATAATTGAATTGGAATCTCAGTTTGGCCACTCACCAGCTCTGTGATTTTAATTAGACTCCAAGATTCACTTTCTCATTGGTAAAAAGTAGATTGTACTAAGTTGGCTTAGTTGTGCAAATGAAATGAGAAGGTGTCATATGAGCTACACTTGTTGGGCAGAGAAGTCACAGTGGAGGGAGCTGACTTTTAAAAGCTCCTTCAGGCCATATGGGATCCCTCTTGTCTCCTGCCTTGACCTTGGGTCCCTCCCTGAGGCAGGGGTGGGTGCTGCCTCCCTCCCTCTCTCCCTTTCCTAGGAGTGGGAGGACTACCGCCTCACCTGGAAGCCTGAGGAGTTCGACAATATGAAGAAAGTTCGACTCCCTTCCAAACACATCTGGCTCCCAGATGTGGTCCTGTACAACAAGTAGGTGACTCTGGAGGGAAGGAAGGTTGAGGGGGACCATGGGAGTGCTCAGTGAAGGAGGAAGGCTTGTAAAAATAAGAGAAGTAAGCTTATGCTGTGAGAAAAGGGACTTTTCATTGCTAGATATGTAGACAGGCAGTAGCCAAGGAGACAGACCCAGGAAGTGAGGTCCGGGGTGGACAGCCACAGGGATTTGGACCATGACGAGCCCCTTCTCAGTCAATCAGGACTGCCAGTGTTAGGGGCTTTGGCGGGGATTTAAAAAATTGAAGCTCCCAGTGCCTAAACTGATTCAAGAATACGTTTTTCTGGAAGCCTGGGAAGAGAACCTTAAGGTCCCAGTTTCTCCTCCAGGTTCTCAGGTTCTATCCTGTCTCCTGCAGCAATCCCTCCAACCTCTAAGGTACAAAATGACTTCCCTCAACTGATGGGACCGTACTCCACTCCTACCTCCCCCTATCCTTCTTTACTGCTTAGGGATGCTCACTCTGGTCTCTCCACCTTCCCCAACATCTCCACCCTCATGAGAAACAACCAACCTGCACAATATGTGACAAGTAATGGATATGCCCCTCCCACCTCTCTACCTGTCATACCACCAGCATCCCCTTCTTGCTCAACCCTGGCTCTACTTCTCCGGACTCCTCCTCGAGGGTTACTCTCAGACTTGGATGCCCCTCCTCCTACCTTCCTCTGGCTCTCCTCTCCTCCCACTCAGGGGGTCGTTGGGTGGGGACAGGGAAATGCTTAGGCCAGGACTGACTGTGCCCACCCCTTGGCAGTGCGGATGGCATGTACGAGGTGTCCTTCTATTCCAACGCGGTGGTCTCCTACGACGGTAGCATTTTCTGGCTGCCACCTGCCATCTACAAGAGCGCCTGCAAGATTGAAGTGAAGCACTTCCCATTCGACCAGCAAAACTGCACCATGAAGTTCCGCTCCTGGACCTACGACCGTACGGAGATCGACCTGGTGCTCAAGAGCGATGTGGCCAGCCTGGACGACTTCACACCCAGCGGGGAGTGGGACATTGTGGCCCTCCCGGGCCGGCGCAACGAGAACCCCGACGACTCCACGTATGTGGACATCACCTACGACTTCATCATCCGCCGCAAGCCGCTCTTCTACACCATCAACCTCATCATCCCGTGCGTGCTCATCACCTCGCTGGCCATCCTGGTCTTCTACCTGCCCTCGGACTGCGGCGAGAAGATGACCCTGTGCATCTCTGTGCTGCTGGCGCTCACCGTCTTCCTGCTGCTCATCTCCAAGATCGTGCCGCCCACCTCCCTGGACGTGCCGCTCGTGGGCAAGTACCTCATGTTCACCATGGTGCTTGTCACCTTCTCCATCGTCACCAGCGTATGTGTGCTCAACGTGCACCACCGCTCTCCCACCACGCACACCATGGCGCCCTGGGTCAAGGTCGTCTTTCTGGAGAAGCTGCCCACTTTGCTCTTCATGCAGCAGCCGCGCCACCATTGTGCCCGCCAGCGCCTCCGCATGCGGCGTCGCCAGCGAGAGCGCGAGGGCGCCGGGGCCCTCTTCTTCCGCGAAGCCCCCGGGGCCGACTCCTGCACCTGCTTCGTCAACCGCGCCTCGGTGCAAGGCTTGGCCGGGGCTTTCGGGTCGGAGCCTGCGCCCGTGGCCGGCTCGGGCCGTTCTGCGGGACCCTGTGGCTGTGGCCTCCGGGAAGCGGTAGACGGCGTTCGCTTCATTGCCGACCACATGCGGAGTGAGGACAACGACCAGAGCGTGAGTGCAGCGCCAAGACGCTGAGGGGTCGTGAGATGGGACTCCCCAGGGATGGGATGGGGCACGGGGATCAGGGGTTGGGGTACCCAGAAAGCAGGGTGCCCCTCAGACACGGAAAGCTGAGCACAGGGTAAAAGAAGGGTGCACCAGGCCTGTGCTGGGGGCCAGGCGCTGCCCTGGGCCCTTCTGGGTTGCTTACCGAGGCTGCAGGGCCTGAATCACAGGTCGGCTCAGATGACCTTGCCTCTGCCTGAGGACTAGCCTCCAGGGGGAAATGCCTCAGCTGGAGCATCTTTAGTGTCCAGAGGGCAGCCTGGAATGGAAAGGAGGCCCTTCTGGGTTGGCAGCTGGCCTATGGCTGTCAGCGAGTCCTTCCCGGCAGCTCACATTACCACCTCCAATTGCTAATCTGCAGCTCTTGCACAAATGGAGATGAGTCCTTCATGCACCCCTTGGGGAGCCAAATTGAGGACAGTAGGGATGTGTACGTGGGCGGTGTCAGGTGGGGGCAGGGTTAGGAGGTTCCATGGACCTGCTCCTCACAGAGAGGAGTCCCAAGTCAATCTCTCTTTTCTATTCTTCTGGGTTCCTGGGAACAGTCTTGTGAAATAGTTTTGGAGATAGGGGTGGCTGGAAAGGGGGGCTCGCAGCCTCCCTCACCCCCTACAACACACACTCCTTCTGTGCCTTTGGCTTTGGCTTTTTCTGCAGCCGCTCCCCGAAAGGCGTTGCTTGGGACTGAGCCAGGCGCTGGGGGAAGCTGGTGGGTGACATCCCGCAGCCCTTTGGGCAGCATCTGGCCCACCCTGTAGTCGTTCTCCAGGTAGCTGGTTGGTTCCAGGCCAAGGCTCAGCTGTTGCCATGATAACTGGCCAGGCTTCCTGGGCGACTCTACCATTCCTGTGGGGGATGAGATGGTGCCACTGTTGGTGTGGGTGGGTTGGGGGTTTCATAGGTATTTCATATTTCCTTGGATGGCAGGAAATTGGGCTGGAGCTAAAGCTTGGGTTAGGGAGCCTAAGACTAAGAGGGGCCTGAGACTGGAGAAGATGGGGTGGGAGACTGAGAACAGCTGGGGCCAAGTGGGAGAAGCTGGGGTGCAGGGCTGAGCAGCTGCTGTGTCATGTCCTCCGCCCTCCTGCCGCAGTCCACTGCCGTGTGCATTTACTGAGCTGGGTGCTAGGGTGCGGTGATCTACTTGGACGACTCACAGGCATCCCCAACTCAACACATCAAGACAGAGCGCATGGTCCCACCACCAGCTTTCTCCCAGCATCAACATCTTTTATCAACGGCATCGAGGTTGATCCAGTGGTAGACCCCGCACTGGAGATATCTCTCACTCCTGTCTTTCTTACCTCCGCCACCATCCAAGTCATCGGAAGTCCTGTACTGCGAGCACCATCTCCAAAATAATCCTCAACTTCATCCTTTTCCCACCATCCTGGCTGTAGGCCACCTCAATTCTTGCCTGGACCAGAGAAGAATCTCCTAATAGTCCCCCTGATTCAGCGCCCGTGCTCCTGTGGCCAGACAGACAAGACTCTCCTCGGCTTGTGTCTTCTCCTCCTTCTCCTCAGCTGGTTGGCTTCTCTGGCTGCCCTTAGAACCTTTGCATATATAGGTCTCTCCCTGGAATGCCTTTCTTTTTTCCCCTCTAAAAATCATCACTGTTAGACGCAGTGGTAAATCCTCATCATCCCAGTGACTCGGAGACTGAGGCCAGTCTGGGCAGCTCAGTGAGACCCTGTCTCGACATGAAAAATAAGAAGGGCAGGAGGTGTAGCTCAGTGTAGAGCACCCCTGGGTTCCATCTCCAGGACTGCGAAACAGCATAGCCCAAATCCCAAAAAAGTTATTGCTGCTGTTAGTTTTTGCCCTATTATTTGAAAATAAGTTTCAGACACCGTGACCCTTTATCCCAGATACTTCAGTGTGTTCCTCCTAAGAACAAGGACACTCTCTCACATAACCCAGGCTCAGAACTGGGGGTGCAGCTCAGTGGCAGATCAGTGCTCACCATGTGTGGGACCCTGGGTTCCATCCTAGCACCACAAACAAATAACAAACAAAAAACCAAACAATAGCAGCAGCAAAAAACCCCAGGTTCAGTGATTAAATTCAGGAAATTTACCACCAACACCTTTATCTAATATGAAGTACCCATTCAGATTTTTCCAGTTGTCCCTGCACGTCCTTCATAGGATCACCTTCCACCCCCACCCCAATCCAAGGTCTCAGATTGTGTTTGGTTGTTGCTTTAGTTTCCTTCAATCTGGAATTGTCCCCCAGCTGGTCTCTCACGGCATAGACATTTTCAAAGTGCACAGGCCGGGTGGCGTTCCCTCTGCTGGGGTTTGACTGTTTTTCATCCATGTATCCCCGAAACAGCTGGCTCTCTCTTGCTCAGCACATCTTAACTTAAATGTCACCTCCTCAAAGAGACTATCCCAGGCCACGTTCTGAATTAGATCCTCCTCCATTTCCCTACCTCAGTCCTTCATATCCCACAAAGTGTGAAATTTCCTATTCTGACTTATTTTTGTCCCCGCTCCCATCGTAGACTCTCGCTGCAGTAAGCATCCGTCGTGCCCAGTTGTACCCCCGGTGCCCAGCATGGCACCAGGTATGTAGGAGGCACGATTGTGATGCGAATGAGTGATAATTTAGCTGCTGGGCCCCAGAGAAACATGTGCAGAGGCCCTGACTCAGGCCACCAGGAGCAGCCCCAGAGAGAGGCTGGCCCAGAGAGAGGCTGGCCCCAGAGAGAGGCTGGCCCCAGAGAGAGGCTGGCCCCAGAGAGAGGCTGGCCCCACCTGCAGGCCCTGAGGCTGACTCTCAAGCCCCAGAGAGCATTCTTTTTCACTTACAGGTTTACATCTCAGACCTGGTGGTGCCTTCTGGGGCCTCTGTGCTTCAGGTGGTGCTGTGGACTGTGCTCCCCATGCAGCCATAAAGGAGCGCAGCCGGAGAGGCAGCCCTCCGCGCACCCATTCAGCACCCGCTGACTGGATTCTGTTTCAGAAACTGGGGTTACAAAGTGGAATCAGGCAGGGTTCCTGTGACTTAGGACCTTGTAGCTGAGTGGGACGACACACCTACAAGTCAAAACAATTCAGTGAGTACGGTGGAAATGTGGGGATGGAGATGGTAACGTAGTGCCCAGGGAACCCACCGCGGACAGTGTTTCACTGTGATCCAGGGCTCAGGGGAGCCTCATAGGGAAGGTGATATTTCATTTGGGCTTTGAAGGATGTATAGGAGTTCACCAGGAGAGAAAGGTCAGGATTTTATTTTTCTTTATTTTTTTTATTTTTAATTTGTTCTTTTTAGTTACACCTGACAGTAGAACATATTTTGACATATCATACATACATGGATTTTAACTTCCCATATTTGTGGTTGTACACGATGTAGAGTTACATATGTACTCATACATGAACATAGGAAAGTTATGTCTGATTCATTCTACTGTCTTTCCCATTCCCATGCCCCCTTTCCCCCCCACTACCCCTCCTCCCTCTTCCCCACCCATCGTGAGTCAGCATCCACATATCAGAGAGAACATTTGGCCTTTGGTTTTGGGGATTGCCTTATTTCACTTGGCATGATAGCCTCCAGTTCATCGGCTTCCCAGCAAATGCTATAATTTCATTCTTCTTTATGGCTGAGTAATATTTCATGGTGTATATGTACCAACTTTTCTTTATCCATTCATCTGTTTCAGGGCATCTAGGTTGCTTCGTAGCTTAGCTATTGTGAATTGAGCTGCTATAAACATTGATGTGGCTGTGTCACTGTAGCACGCTGATTTTAAGTCCTTTGGGTAAGGGTCAGGATTTTCCAGACACAAAGGAAAATGAAGGGCATGGAGACTTGAGAGAACGTGTTGGGGTTTGGTAAACTTGGACTATGGGGTGGAAGAAGAATAGAAGATAGGCTTCTACTTATCGTGGGTAGATCTTGATTCTAGACCTGGGGGTGGGGCCCGAGGACAGTGGGGCCACTGGAGGCTTTTAGTCAGTTAAGACCAGAGCCATGCTTTATTTAGAAAGGCCACTCTGGGGTCTCAGGAGGACAGGAGTGCAGTGGGTGTAGGGGTGGTGGGACCTCCACCCCAATCTGTTAGGGTGAGATTGCAGTAAATCCCTGAGTCTATCCTAAAGCGGGAGACGGAACCGTCTTTCTTCCCCAGCTGGTGGGCCGGGGGCAGGCTGCAAGTCTGCACCCTCCGACCCCCTCTGGGGGTTTGAGTGCAGCCTCCATACCATAAGGAAAGCATGTCAGTGCGTTACTCCTAAGTGGCTGTTGTAGGATCCAAGACCATAAACAAACATGAGATCTAAAACCATAAGCAGAAGGGGAAGTGGGTCAAAACGTCCCTGGTTGAATACAAGTTAAAGAACGGTCACTAACGTCTAGACGATCGTTCTCTGACAGGGTGCATTGGTCCAAGAAAAATGGGAACCAAAGAGAGCTACTTTACTTGTGTAAGAATTGCCATTTGTGTTGCCAAACATGCTGTCCAAGCAACTGCTGGTGGGCACGGAGGCGGGCTGTCCCACGGGAGAAGCAGTTCTTGCATGACCTGGAGTCTCCGGTAAAATGGAGTCTGTTTGGTCGTTGCCCACTTAGCCTGGCCCGCAGCAATCCCACCCATCCCGCGTCCTGTGACTGACACCTGGCTCTCCTCCCCCCCATCCAGGTGAGTGAGGACTGGAAGTACGTGGCCATGGTGATCGACCGTCTGTTCCTCTGGATCTTCGTCTTCGTCTGTGTCTTTGGCACCATCGGGATGTTCCTGCAGCCTCTCTTCCAGAACTACACCAGCACCACCCTGCTCCACGCGGACCCCTCGGCTCCCAGCTCCAAGTGAGCGGTGCGCAGCCCCCTCCTCCTCCAGCCCTTGACCCTGGTGTCCGGTAGCCGTGGTTGGAGGTGGATGAGTGGGCTTCCAGGAAGAGGGGTGCTGTCCCCCAGAGCCGCCCTCTCACCTCACGTGGAGCCCCGACACTCCGTCTCCACATCTGGGCCTGCAGAATGGGAGCGGCTGCATTTGGGCTTCTCCTCTCACCACCCCTGACAGTGACGTCAGTGTGGAGGACGGGGGCACATGGAGGACCGAGAGGCCAGAGCCCTCCCCCCCCCCCGAGGAGGGAGAGAGGGAAGGGCCAAGAGGGGACAGAGTCACCCAAGTCCTGGGAGAGGGGCCATATGGCAGGAGGGGCAGTGGCACAGGATCTCAGAAGGGAGGAGTAGAGCAGAGAGTGGAGCCTGGTGTGACCTGATGTCCACCCCTGTGTCAGTGGGCAGCAGCCCGGCTGGGTAGGCCTCCTGGCATCTGAGGTTCCTGCACCGAGGGCTTAGCCCGGGGAGGCCTCCAGCTCAGTCCACAGCCAGCGCCCCTAGGGCTCCAGAGCCCATCCCCAGCCCCGCTTCTGCCCAGTGGAGGACCCCGCACCTCCTGGCCTTCCCTCTCCTGCTCAGGCGCAGGGGGAAATGGGCAGAGCCAGGTTCTCAGGGGAGCTCCGAGTTCTGGATCTTTGGGTGCTTGGAGTCTGAGGCCCAAGCGATTGAGCTGTGTGAGAAGTGCAAGTTCATGAGCTCTGGGAGCTGGAAGCACCTTTTACAGTCACGGATCCCAAAGGAGGCCATGTCCTAGATGGACAAACGGAACCAGACCGCGGCCCATCCGACTGGGCTGCCCTGTGGCCCTCACTTTGAACTGCGTGAAGAGAGGCGTGTGAGGACCTTAGCCCGCCGGACCTGAGCTGCTGGGACAGCTGCCGGGGGAAGCCACCTGGGCAGGACGGCCGGGCCAGCACTGTGCCTGCGGAGACTCCTTCCCTGCCCTCTTCACTAACCCCAGTAGGTTGCCACAGAAGTGCAGGAGGTCACAGGAAGCAGGACTTCTGCTGCCCGTCCTGGGGTCCCTGCAGGCTGCATTCTGGCACGGCTCCCAGGGTCCTCCTGCTGGAGGCCACCTGACCCATTAGCCCAGGAAGCGGATCTATCGAGGGACCTCCTGTCCCTGCCCCCACCGTGTGGGGCTTGGATCTGTGGTCCCAGTCTGTGTTTGGCGCTGGGCCAGCAGATGGCCGGTCATAGAGACGTCAGTCTGCCATTGCTCCCCAGGGATGGGGCCCGACCTGGTCATTCAGTGCTCTGAGCCCAGTGGGATCTGCTGCTTCTCCAGGCACAGGGGACATGGGAGGCTTGCTGATGTGTGGGTGGGAGGGGACACTGCACAAAGAGTGCTGGACAGGGATTCCGGAAGCAGAGTTCTAGGCTCCGCTCTGGTACGTACTCATTGAGCCATCCCCAGCAAGCCCCTTTGCCCATGTGGGCTCTGCAGATCCAACGCAGGCCTCCTCACGCATTCCAGGTGAGCAGTCTATGACTGAAACGCAGCCCCACCCTTTAATGCTTCTGAGCGGCTGTTGTCCAGGTTAGTGACCAAACTGTGCTCGAGGGGGTGTCAGTGAGTAGTCTGACTCCTCTCCGTGTCCCATTTGTCACACTGGGAAACTGAGGCCCAGAGGTCATTTGCTGTCTGGTCTCATGTAGGCACCGCTCTCTGAACTTGCTGTTCTGCATGTGTACAGCAGGATGGCAGCGGGCAGGGGCTGAAGAGGGGAGGAAGGAGGTCAGTGTATGGGACTTTGTCCACTTTGGGGGTAGCCCCTTTGGGGACCATTGCAGTAAGGGAGGAGGGGAGGGCAGAGGTGGTGAAGGAGGGCCCCACTGCCCGGGCAAGGAAATGCCACATGTCGGTACCGTGGGAGCCCTCAAGGACATTGGCAAATTTGGGGAACCACAGTTCCTCTTCCTCGGGTCCCACACCCTCTTCCCTTGGTGGTGCCAGGGAGCCCCTGTCTCCTTTCCATGGTGGGGCTGCACCTGGGTACAAGGCTCAGCGCTAGGCAAGGATGAGCAGGCCCTGGAGCTGAGGAGGGGGTAGACAAACTGCATGGGGACCTGGGACAAGGACTTGGGAGGAGGCAATGAGAGAGGAGATGGGATCACCCATCAGAGGTGACCTGGTCACAGTGACTTGGTGGCCATCTTTGGGAAGAAGGTGTGCACAGGCTTTCTGCCTTGCTTTCTGCCTTGCCTGGCAGCGAGGTGTGCAATCCTCCAACAGCTGGTGCCAGGTTATTGAAAGTTAAAAGCAAACAAGATGCAGGCATCTCCCCAGATGGCATGTTCCGCAGGAGGGCGTCTGCGGAGGAAGGGCAGGGCCATTCCCTCCAAGGAAATAGGATGACTGGAGCTTAGACCCCTGTTTCCGCCTCTCCAAATCCCAGGGTTAGCTACCGCTTACCAAGGGTCTGTTCTGGGCCAGTCCCTTTAGATGCACTGTCTTTATTCCTCAAAATAGTCCTGTGGGGAGGGCCCCAGTTGGCAGAAGAGACCAAGTGACAGCTGATGGGTAGTGCTGGCCCCTCAACCCAAGAGTGCCCCAACGTCCAGGCATGTGCTATGGCCCTTGAGGAAGAGGAAGGTGGGGGGCATCCAGAGCCTTCTCTGAATCACTCCCCATGCCAGAGTGACTTGGTTCCTGTTGTCACCCTCTGCTTCTAGGCAGCAGTGGATTGTAGCATTCTTCACAGCACAAAGAGCACTGGCCAGCCTCCCGTCCACTCACCCTGCCCAGACAGGACAGTCACCTTTTAATAGTTATCCCAACAGGTCTAAAAGGTGGGTGCGATAGTCACATTGTTCCTGAGGGACTTTAGCTCTAGAAATCTGTAGGACACCTCACTCACCCCCACCGCGCTGCCCGCCTCCCCACGCCGCCCTTGACCTCCTCTGTCTGCGCGCCTGGAGTATCTGCACTGGTCTGGCCCGCCCCTGGCTGGACTCACTAGGAACTCAAGATTCTCGTAAAGAAAGTAGTTTCCAAGGACACCTTGTCCTCCTGTTCTGTTTGGGGCTGTGTGGGGTGGCTGGGCATCCTCAAGGCCCTGGCTGGCGAACGTGGGAAGGGGAGGGTGCTGGAGAAATGGAACTCGGGGGTCAGAGATGTGACGCAGTCCAAGAACAGGGGACGGGAACAGTCTGCTGCTTTACAAGCCCACTTATCAACTGGAAAGGGCACAACGGTCGAGCTGGAAGTGGCCAGAGCCCAGAAGTGGCCCTTGGCGGGGACCTTTTTTGAGGACTAGTCTTTTGGAGGCACCTGGATGAAATGCTGTGTGGGTCACAGTGAGGGAGAGCTGAACAACTCTGCAGCTGTTTTCGCACAAAGCAGTCCTGCCTCCTCGCCCACGGTGCTGAGGCTGAGAGGGCCCTGGCCTCAGGCTTTAAGGAAATTTTCCGATTTCCTCTGTAACATTGGCTTTGAACTCAGGCTCACACCTTAAGCACCTGCCCTACCATGGAGTTATACCCCCAGCCCAGGAAACGGTCTTGGGGGTTGAACCCAGGAATGCTCTCACACGGGGCTGCATCTCCAGCCTTTTTTAATTTTTTGAAACAAGTTTTCACTAAGTTGCTGAGGCTGGCCTCAAACTTGTGAACCTCCTGCCTCAGTCTCCTCAGTTGCTGATATTACAGGCGTGTGCCACTATGCCCAGGGAACGTGTCCACTTTCTAAAAGACATGGGTCTCCCTTCTAGTGGAACCAGGAGCTGCCCAAGGACAGAGGCATCTATACCATTGGAGGCATTATCCTGCACTCTCTTTAAAGAAAAGTTGTTCCGTTCTAGCAATAAATTTCAGCAACTGTTAGTGACATTATGAGGAGTCCTTGTCTTTATGTGTTGTGTCCCAACACGCTGAAGGCTCCCTGGCCTCAGACCCAGCCGTATCGAGGATGAGGAATGAGGTTTTGTTGCGACCTAACTAAGCTCCCTGTTAGGTGCTTTATGTCCTCTGACATGATGTCATTGTTAAAAAGTCAAGGATGCAGCGGCTTGGGAGGCTGAGGCAGGAACTTGAGTTCAAAGCCATCCTCAGCAACTTAGTGAGGGCTTAAGCAGCTTAGCAAGACCCTGTTTCAAAATAAAACATGAAAAGGGTGGGATGTGGCTCAGTAGTTAAGTGTCCCTGGGTTCAATTTCTGGTACCAAAAAAGAAAAAAAAAAAAAAAGTCAAGGATGGGTCTTCTAGAAATTCAGGAGTAAGTTACAATGTGGAAAGAGGTGAATGTCCTTGAAATTCAAGATGGAGAGATCTGGGATGCCTGGTCTGCTGAGAAAGGCGAAGGTCTCCTAAGACTGCAGCTAAGCCTGCTCAGCTCCCCAGCTGCAACTCCCCTCCAAAGTCGCGGCAGCTGGGAGGGGGGAGTGTGGGGGAGGGAACACCCTCAGGGAGAGCTGGAACTGTGAATCTGTCACATACCCTCTCAAGGGATGTTTCCTCCTAGGCCTGGAAGTCCCGCATGGCCACCTCCCTGAGGACAGTACAGTTAGTGGTGGGCTCTCGTGGTGTGGAGCCGGGGAAGTACTTTGGAGGTGCCTGATGTACCCTACCCCACCCAGTGGAGGCTTCTTTCCTCAGGCTGAGGGACTGAGGGACAGCCCTCTCCCCAGGTTCTGTCTGATGCAACTGGTGCTGTTACCAGAAATCCCAGGACTCAGGTCCCTCTGTTCCCACCTCCCCGCCCCCAAGAGACCAAGACATGAAGCTCTCTAAGGATTCAGACTGTTCACTGTTTTTATTTCAGAGGAATGTATACTGTGAGTCACTTGAAGGTATACACAAAAAGCAGAATCATGAAACTGGACTGCAGCCTCCCCGGCACCAAGGCTATGCCCGGGCTCTTCCCCACTCTGCTCTTGGAGTCACTGTCAAGACCCCAAAGCCAACAGAGTCCTTTCAACTTGAGTAAAGGAAATAGCTTCAAGCATCAACAATTTTTACAAGTGATTATTCAAAGATAATGCACAACAGCCACAGTTCAGACAAATCAACTACAAAAAACCATTAAAGAAAGGAGGGAGGGGTCTTGCTTGTTAAAACAAAGATTGGAGAGAAGTGAACACAGGGGGGATGCTCTGCCCCCCACCCCTCCTGTGTGACTCTGAGGGGCGGGGCCTGGGACACAGAGGGGCGGGGCCTGGGACACGGCGGGGCGGGGCCTGACACGGCTCAATTCCAGCAGGGTGTGGAGGGCAGGGGTGCTTCTCGCTTTCTTCTTACAGCAGAAACTGGATATGACAAGTTTGCTAGATAAGATCCTGGGGGCGAGTGGGGCTCTGATCTCTTGAGAGCCCCTGTGCTCCCAGTGATGGGGTGGGGGACCGCTGAGTCAGATCTCTGCCAGAGATTCTAATGCCCAAGGCAGACCAAAGCTGCCAGACATCCTGAGGAACTGGTAGGTAGTCATCCTCCAGCCGGGAGGACCTGTCCCGGAGCCACAAGATCACCCTGCCCCCACACAGTGAGCACTGTCACTCCGCAGGTCAGCACTGAAGTCACATGCCTTCAGCTAATACCCCAAGCTTGGCAATACTCACAAAGCCCCGGCCCCTTCTCCCCCAGAGACAGGCCCCATTTCCCCACCAGTTCCCTTGGGATGCTTCAGTGTCCCACAAAGACATCCTTAGTGTCTTTTTTAAAACCTGCATTATTATTTCATTCAGTTTTTGGTCACAGGTACAGAAAGTAGCCAGAGAGATCAAAGTGCAAACACAGACATATCCACTACTGAAGAGGTGGGCCAGACCAGGTGGGGAAGCAGTTTGCGGGTGGGAGGCAGGAGTGTGGGAAATCATCTGCCAGTCCCAGAGCCATCTGACACGATGAGGCCCTGGGATGGATGGAAAAGGCCATCTGCATTTTAAATCTGTGCGACTGCGGTTGAGAACCAACGTCTCTGGCATTCTTTAAAAGAGCCCTAATTCTACTGGGTTTAGTCAACTTCCCTTGGATCAGTGCTGAGAAATATTGAACTGCACAGAACAACGATTTGTCCCAACATGATTTCTGCCCTATTCTTGCTAAGTCCTAACTATCTGAGCAGACGATTTACCCTCTAAGAATTGTCCTGAAGTTTTTCACACTAGTTTACTGGGGTCTATGGGCTTATGGGCAGATGGGAGCTTGGCAATAGCCCAAGGAACGTCTGTCTGTGCCCCTGGTAGTGGTCTGTGTCACTCTGCAGGGGGGACCGCCTACGGCGTGGGTAACTTCCTAGCCCGTCTGCTGGTTCTCAACTTCCTGCTGCCCCGGGAAGGGATGCGCTTCGCCAGCAGCGGCTTTTTCCTGGACACAGTGCAGGTTCCCACTGCTGAGCAGGGTTCGCAGATTCCAGTCCCACTTCCATTGGCACTGGTAGTTAATCCGCCGTAGTCTTCAGTTCCTGCCCTTGTAAATATTCCACCTAATTCCTGAAGTCCACCTCTTTACCCTCCAGGGTGGGAGGAGAGACTCAGTGATCACAGGTAAGAATCTCAGAAGCCGGGGGTGGGAAATAGAGGGGCCTGTGGGATCCATAAACGAGATCCTTGGTCCCTGACACGGTTCACAGAGAACTGACTGGAACCTGATCAAGTCCACGAGAGGTCAGTGTAGAAACACACCCACAAAAAGGAAACGGGAAAACAAAGCTCAGGAGGAGATGGGCCACAGGGGCTGGGTGACTGCTTATGCTCTGGGTGGAAAGGTCAACCCCTTTCTCTGCCTGTAGGTCTCTGCCTCTCACTTGAAGTAAGAGAAGGGGCCTGGCCAGATTCTGCCTAGAAACCCCAAAGAAAGCAGGATAAAGGGAACCCAAAGTTCTCAGTATCTCTAATTATGGTTCCATTAAAAAAAAAAGGTGGGGGTTAACCCCCCCCCACCCTCGGCCAATGTGATGAGGAATGCCAGGACCCCCCCCTCCCCGCCAACCCCCAGCCTCAGTCGTTGGGTACGGGGCAGAGATAGAAGTTCTTCTCCTCCTGGGGTTTGCTTATCCAGTTTCCGTAACCCATGTCCTTGAGGCTCTTTTTGAAGTAGTTCTTGTTTATCTCATAGTCGCGGGCGGCTTTCTTGGCCTCACCGTAGGAGAGTTTCAGTAAGTCCCTGCGGTACCGGAAGGAGCAGAGCTTCTTAAACAGAAGAAAAATGTTCTTTTTCGATACCCGCGACAATTCATTTCGTGGCCTGGGGAAACAAAGGCACTGGTTATTCACCTGGGACAGGGGAGTGGGAGCCACTGGGGACACCCGTGGTGGGACGTGGCCCTAGCTCTGGAGAGGATCCTGCTTGCCCTGCACCCTCCCCCTTCCTTACCCGTCCACGGTGCCCCTGGTACCATCCAGGATCTCCAGGTCGAAGCCGTCAGCCAAACACCAGTTGACGCTCGTCTCCTTAGTCTTCCCGGATTGCCTCTTGGAGTCATACACACTGACTCGGCCCACCTGGGAGTCCCAGGAGTGAAGAGAGAGAGGTGGACACCATTCAGGGCTAAGTTCTGGGAGCAGGGACTCCCGAATCATGGGGAAGAGGGAGGTGGGCCACCGTCTCCCCCTTGATTTAACATGGCTTGGTTACACCGGAGCACACTCTAGAAGTACTCTCCACCTCGATTCAGATCGTGTCAGGCTAGAGGAGGAAAGCCCTTGGCCTCCAGAGGACACCAACCATGGCTCCCTTGACCATATTTCTGCTCTGCTGATGGGAATGCTTGAAAAGGGGAACAGGACAGGGGCACAGACCTTCGGGTGGTTGACAACAAAGGGGTATCGTAATCCAGCCTCAAACGCACTCCCGTCTCTTGTCACACGACAGCAGATAGCCCGGGTCAGATGTCCTTGGCTGAAAAGGTACCCTGGGTATAAAAAAGAAAGTAAAAACAGAAACAAAAACCCATACATCTGTGTTCACCAAAGCTATGGAGAAGCTGAGGCCCCCGGGGGCTGGAAGGTATAAGGCAGAATTGTCAGGACAGAGAGCCCCTGACAGGCAGGGCCTCTAACT